TTAGCATTGTTCAACATGCTGTGACTGAAGAGGAAGGAAACCAAATTAACACTAATTGTATCTTCTTTCATCATTTCAGTGCATAGCCACTTTAAAATTCATAGAAGGTCATATAAAAACCATTACACACTCGCATGATTAAACACTATTTTTAGCAGTCTGTCAGTCTCCCTAACACCTTTTGAACCCATTGCTCAATTTGTCCAAATTTGAAAAGGAGATTGTGTCGCAGCTATCACTGTTCTTGCAGTGTACTAAAAATCAGCAACCCGGTAAAGGAGAGAACTGCAAATCGATGCTCCCCACTGGAGGAAGGGTAGGCAGGGTGCAACCATTGTCCTGCAGCTTTAGCAGCAGCCAAGCAGAGGCTGAAGGAGCCTAACTCAGGAGAGGCCCTGGCCCTCATCCAGGAGGGAGACTGTAAAGAAGAGCTGGGATATTGCAGTGAAGAGAATGGCATCGTTCAAGGACAAAACCACAGATCTGTAGGAAATCGGGCTTCATTACCTCTGCTTCTGGTGGAACAACTTGTTTGTAAGCTCAAGATTCTAAAGGGTTCTTTGATTAGAGTGATTAGGGGTTAATAAGAAGGACAAAATGAATGGAGTCTCACTGTCTAGCAATGAGCGCCATTCCCCCCAACCTTTCAGGTATACAATCCTATTCAGCAGTAAAGCATGATGTAATTGGATTGCAACTATTGCTTTCAAAAAGGTAAGAGTATTACCATAATTACTTAGTATGGTTTATTCATACAGTTAAGGAATGTACTGTAATCTGCCTGTGGGACTAAGTGATTTATGTGTGCGTATGTCTGTTATATCGGGTTCGGCAGGGCTTTTAAAATGTTATAAATCACTCACAAATGAGTTCACAGTGATTTTAGAGTATTATAATGATAGTATTATTTTAGACGATATCAAGGTACTGAATACACTCACAAACTTGATTGAAGCACTAGAGAAGATAGTAAGTAATATAACACAATTGGAATTTGACAGAACCACAGCATAACTTCTACGTCTGTCTTAATTTTCACCAGTGTAGCCACTACTTGTTCCTTTGCTTTTTAAAATACATCTAGCAACATCCAAGAGGGTTTATGAAAAACGTCAACAAACTCAGCTTAACCACCTCCACTTTTGGTTGAGTAGGTGTGTAATAAAACTGTTCTGTTACCCAGGACTCTTAGAGTAATCGGATTTCTTTTCAAATCTGACCTCCAACTAGCATAAAAACAACAACTGTGATTAAATGCACATATGCTATTAATGTTTAATATTATTTTGTCTTCCCAACAGCCCTTAAATTCACAGTATGTTACCAATATCTCATAAATGCCTTTTTTTCAGATTTTTTACATTATGAGATAAAATGGATGAGATGCTGAGCACCAGTACATCAGCAGTTTTCTGTATGGTTAGCATTAGTTCATATTCCACACATTTCAGGCTTGGTAGCTAAGTACAGGTCAGCAGTTTGAAAAGGAAAGCAACGTTCAGGGTTGGGCAAAACTGATCTATGAAAAAAGAAAAGCCTTTACTGACCTTCACTAAAATGTATGTCTGCCATAAGATAAACCTGATCCTGCTAACAGTTGGAGTACTGGCACGAACTGGAGGGGGGTGGTTGATGGTGGTTCATCGTCCCCTAAGCTGCATATTGCTTTTGAGCTCAAAAGCTTTCCCATATGCTCTTTGGGGCATTTCAGTCTGTATTTGTATGCTATCCAGTATACCGGCGTCCCAATAATTCTATCTATCTGTTGGGTCAGTATATAGTATTATCCTAGTTGTCCTTACTATTACTGGATATTGCTGTATTATGCAGCTTCATAACAAACAGAAAATTCCAAATTGCCGCAGATCCATGTGTGTGAAATTTTCTAAGCACTGAGTGCTTAAAGGCTGTTTTAGGGGTGTCACTAAGCCAGTTTTGCTTCATATTATAATAAGCAAAGAAACAAATCTATTGTCTAGGTTTTCCTAGCTTTTTACCTGCTCTTCAAAGGCCTGGCTCTGTTTTAGAGGAAGTAAGATCATCTGATTTGCCTTGGCAAATATAAGCAGGTTCGTTACTCAAACTCCAAAAGGAGCTGTAAAGGTTTAAATTAGACACAATAAACATTTCAAACTTTATTTCTTGCTTTAGGCATACGCACCAAACATTTACAACCAAGCACGTAATCTTTCTAGCAAATATTTCCTAGGAATGTAAATTCAAGCGCAGTGGTTGTCATATATTTTATGTTCTGTGCATAGCAATCTTGGCAAAGTAATTTTGTTAGAAGCAATAAACCAACTACTCATGCCTGGGATGAACGTGAAAAGAAAATGGCAGTAAGTCTGAGCATTTGTCTTTGTTACTCAGGGTGTGTTTCAATTTTTTTTCTCCCATGAAGATGATCAAATCAGATGTGCTACAGAGTGCATCTAAGTGATCTGTATACCCTTAATGAATAAACAAACAGCTCCATTTGAAAACATGGAAATGAGGTGGCTGCATACTGCCTGCCTTTTTGCTTCTGTGCAACAGCTGCAAAATACTTGGTTGAGCACCCTGAAGTTCTTACTTTCCAGAGCAACTAAGAGCTGCTTGGCATGGACGGGTGGAGAAGGGCAGGAGAATGCTTCAGAATGAATCCATTCATTCTGGAGACGGGGGCGATGCCATTAGTGAGGAGCCAGAAGGGTTAGGCTTTCTAAGGTGGAAGGCGAGGGCTTCTGTACGAGGAAGGAAGAGGAGATACCAACAGAGGGGTAATACAGCAGTCCTAGCTCCTGGGAGAGAAGATAGAAGCGGGAAGTGCAGAGCTGGCCAAATGCATTTTTTTTTTTTAACTACTGACTAGTCTATTGACCTACGTAAGAGTGCCTACAGCATTCTTTTGGTGGTAGAAGCAACTAATAGAAAGAAATAGGTATTTAAATATTCCTGTTAGCATGGTTGAAAAGGAAGCAAAATCTGCTAATGAACAACAAGACCCAGTACTTGAAGGCAATCTCCCAGCCTACGCCTCTCTTTGTCCCATTGTCGGCTACAAAATTCTCAGAGAGTACATGGGGTTTATGGACAGGGCAGATACTGACGATGTATTTCATTTGAGATGTCATTATAGAAATGCTTAGTAATCTCTGCTTACATTCTGTTCTAAAACTGTAATCAGTTGGGACCTTTACCGTGCTTACTGCTCTTGTTTTGTGTATAGCTGGCTGTAGGACAAAAAAAAATAAATCAATAGGTAGGGCACATCAAGGAAAACGATGCGTTATTTAGAAAACAGCAAATTGTGCCCTATAGGGAAGAAGAAATGGAAGGTTATCTCTTTTTGGAGCTAACATGTGCAAACATGGGTTACTGGTTTTTGTGAAGATGCACTTCAGCTGTCTCATAGAAGACACATAAGAGTGCACAACCTGTGCTGTACCCAGCAAGTTGTACTGTTTAGAAAAAACAGGTGATTTAAAATACAGTTCACATCAGACTGGGCAATATTTTCAACTGGAGTAAGAGCGTCATGTCAGCATCACCAGATTTAAACATGCCTAAATGGCCAGGATTATGTACTTTTTTTGCCCAAACATAAGATTATAGGTTGGGACAAGAGCAGGGAGTGCTGCTATAGTTACATTAGTAAATGGCAAGACCAACATCTGCACCCAGTGCTGGTTTGGATCACCCTCTGGTCCATCCTGCAGCCTATGTAACACTAACGATGAACGGGAACACATTACACACGTGTCTGCCAGTTTGGTTGCCTTCCAAAAGGAACAGTTTGCAATTGAGATGTGAACCAAAGCGGTAAGGATCAGGAGATTCACTCTAAAAGTCCACTCCTGATAAAAAGTGAAATGCTGATGTAGGTATGTATGTATGTGCTGTGTAAATTTAAAGTAGTTAACTGCACTAGCATCTCACAGGAGAGAGAGGGACCTCTGTTTACAGGTGCTTTGAGACAGGGGCTTATTTTAAATGAAGAATTTTCACTTCACAGAAAATAGTCTCAAGTTTTGCTTTTATTGAAAAACAATTTGGAACATTCTTCAAAAAGGTATTTTAAAGCGTTATTTTCATTACTTAAGAAATGCCAGAATTCTAAATACTTTTTCACAGGGTTTTCAGAGTGTTGGATATCCATCTTTACTCTTTACACACAATTTCATTTTTTATGTACTTAGATACTTGTGGTTTGACAGGGATCAGCATTAGTTTTCAATTCAAGTGGTCTTCTACTTCACTAGAATTTCCAGGACTGAATTTAGTAAGATTTTATTTGAACTGTGTTACATTATCAGTTTTCCTTCTTGTTGTAGCTGTTCATTTAAATATTCCATGAAAAGGAAAAGCCTTTACAAATAAGATAGATAGAAAAAGTTTTAATCAAAGCTGAGTGCTGTGACAGTAATAGCAATCTTGATAAGCTGCAAAATAGTTAGTTACTGCTAAATCTGTGTATTTCATATTTTAATACATTATACTTCAGGCCTTGCCATGTCTTCAGATTTCCAATGACAGTGACAAATAGTCCTTCACTGCAACATGCTTTATGTAATAAAGCAAAATGACTAGCCTGTTCTAAAACACACCCCATTAAACACTAAGGCTGGTAATCTTATCAGTGTTACTCATTCACCACTGCGGTTCCAAGTTTCAAGCCAGCTTTTCTGCCCAGCTGGGTGTTGTGGGAGCCCAGAACCTCTGGGCTACAGCAGGGTTCTACTTCAGGTCTCTAGGATTTCTGATCAAACCCATACGAAGTGCCCACTTGCTCCTATTAAGAGCTTTATTGAGGAACAGCAACGCACATGAAATGGTTTTGTTAGTGAAAAAGAAATAGACATCCAGACAAAAATCTGAAACAGGCAGTAAAATACATAGTTTAACAGACCAAAAGAAAAACTATTTATGTGTATGAAAATGACATAACACTGGAGAGTGCAAGACAGGGTAAAAATTAAGATAGTGACCTGTGATTCATGTAACTGAAGCCATTGCTAAGCTCCAGTGCATTACTTCGGTGGGTTTCAGGCCTATTCCAACAACATACAAACCTGAAAGACACTCCTATGCTTTCAGGAAAGAGACGCTAATTACAGAACATGCTTTCTTTTGAACATCTTCCTGGGATAGCTAGAGATCATCACCTCATTAAGCAACTCGATACAGGATCAAAATTTACATGTGTATTTACATGTGACATTCCATTAAGGAAGCAGTTGATTATACTGTTGTTCAACGAATCACCCAAAATTTATCTAGATGACAGCTGGACTAAAATACTGTTTTCATTATTTTTCTTTATTTCACATGGATAAAATACAGACTTCCACAATACAGGAAGGAAAGGAAAAAAGCACTCTACAGCTAGAAGGGAGGTATAAGCTATTTTTATGCAGACTGCTTGTAAGATAAAGCAGTGAAAGCTTTTCTGATGTTGGCAACAAATGCAGAAAAATTGTTTGTTTCTCTCACTTTGAGCTGGAACTCTGCTATACAGTCCAGGGGAGGAGTACAGGAAGTCACTAAAATGACACAAATTTCCAAAAGATTAGACCATTATAAAAAAAAAGTATTACTGTTTTTCCATGTTTATGAAATACAAATGTAGTTTGTTATCTTTGTATGTTTTAGCTTAATCCAGTATTATTTTTGAGGAACCTATTAAACAAGTTTCTTTCAGCAAAGACAAAGCCTCAAAGAACACAACATTATTTTTTTTTTCAATTATTTCCAGACCTCCTGCTCAGTGCTGTGCTCCTGAATTGTTACAGTAGTTTCCAGTAATCCATAGCCTGCTCAAAAACTGAAATACATTCCTAACCATTTCTGTCGCTCTGCAGGCAGGCAGACTGAAAACTGATGTAGCCCTGCAGGTGATAAACTTTTCACTTCAGCACATTTTAGATGTGAATTAGTAAAACAGAAATCTGTACCTAGAGGTGTAGCAGAGCAACAGTAGCATACGCCTAGAAGCTACTCAGCATGGTACTCAAACTACCACTGCTGTTCTTCATAACTGAGGTAAGATCCATATTGCAAGAACGGCTTTAAGGTCTGAAAGGTTGTACCCTTGCAGAAGGGGAATGCTGGATTTCAAGTTTTAATCTATGTCACACAACTCCAAGGGTCCCCCACTATGTGGAGAACCTAATTTTTTCTGCCCTCTAGGCTTGACAGACAGGTCGGAATACGCCTGTCAGCATAAACACTCACTCTAGCATAAAGGGAAGAAGCAACAAACTACAAACTGAAGCATTTATCTGTGCCTGTATAGCTCTTTTCTCTCCTGCTTTGCTCAGGACAAAGTAAACAGCAACTCCACAAATGGAAGGGAGCAAAGATAAGCAGTTGTATTTTCATATAAGTTAACAAGAGAAACTTCATTTAAAAACATATTACCATTGCAAGATTATTCATTCAGAAATTGGAAGATAAAGGTTACAACTAAACTGTACTTTACTCCCCTCCCCCTTTTTCAAATAGGGGCATCAGATTCTGTCCTCTTAATTATTCAGTATTCACATACCTTCATAATCTCCCTGCTCGTTTATGGAAAGGGTAAACACATACGGCTTGTCAGGATCTTTGTGGTCAATGTGTCTGAATATAAACTGTAATTGTTCGTCTAAAGCAAACACAAACAGAATTAGTTAACACCATTAACCTCTGCTGGAGAGTCACAATGATGACCAAAAAAAAAAAAAAATCACAATATTAAGCTACAGTTTCACTTAATATTCTTAGAATACTTACAAGTTAAGCAAACCTGGTGTCTTTGAAAGACAAATGCATTTTAGCATATACCATATTCTGCCATTTGAGACAACGGTAACACCTGGGCTGGGGCTACTCTTCCGTTGTGTAAGCTAGTTATGTTCTTCACTACCCAATCCAACATTAACCACTTTGTATCACTGCACATGGGAACTACAGAAACTTACTGTGAATTCTGCGTATCTCCAGTCCAAGCCGCTGTTCAAACACTGTTTTAGACTTGCACAGTTGCTCCACTCTCTCCTTCGCAGCTTTCTTTTTAGAAGATATAACTAGAATTTTAGAAGCCACCATAAATATCAAAGTAAAGGTAAAACAAGCACATAAAAAAAACATAGAACAGTGCAAAAGCCCATCAAAAGCAAGTGTTGAAAACAATTCCTCCTCTAATTAAGAAAATCTACTTACTATCCTTTGCTTACTTACTTTCCTTTTTCTTCATCAACTCTTCTTTAAGCTCTTGGATGCTGTCAGTCAAGTCCTTCACTTGCTCTTCTTCTTGATTTAAGTTAGATTTTATTTCTGTCAAATGCTCTTGATTTTCTGATATGCGTTGGGTCTGCTGGAGAATCTCTGAAACGAGGCAAGAAAATATGAATTCATACAGTTGATTACACTTACCTGTGTAGTTTAAGATGACTCATTTGAATAAAATCTAGTGAAATTGTCTCAGCTGAAAAGTCAGCATAACTACAGCATCAAATAAAAAGCTTAAAGTGAAAGTTATTCAAAAGAGAAGCTACTAAGTAGGGAGCTCCTCTCATACTTCAGTCAGATGCAATTTGTTTCTGGTGCCAGAACTATATACATCCTCAAAACAGGAGGATGGCAGATCCTGTCCAGACAAAAAATTAGTCAGAAAGCAAGGAATGGAAACAGTGACTGATATTTGAGTTGCAATTATTTTTACCTGATATTCTGAAGTTTACCTACAAAGTTCAGAGACTCCTAGACTGCTAGGCTGACTGTATTCTATTACTAATATGGAAAAAGTATTAGTAACCTCACAATATTTAACTTCACTAAGCAATTTAATTTACTTTTCCTATCACTGTCAGCAAGTTCTGGTACTTTGTTGTTTTAAACACTTAAGCACCAAAACCACTATGCAGAAAACTCTTACCCGATCTTTGGTTTTTTGCATCATCAGTGAAGTTTTCCAACAAATTGCTTTTGACTTGCAATTTACATCCTGTAACCAGCCAAATATGTTTAATTTTAATTCCATCTTCATTCTGATGTTGTTATTTACCTTGTAAAATGGGAAGTTAAACATACTATTCAGCTGTATTAAGTTAATTTTAGAAATGTTGGAAGCAATAAATAAAACACCATACTGTACCATTGCTATACTCCCGAGTTTTATTAATCATCAGGTCCCCTTCTTTCAGCTTCCTGGACCATTTCTCTGTAACAGAAAGTTGTTTCAATTATCAGAAGTTTGATGATAACTTGGAAAAAGTAACAGGAACATAGAGCCTTTTTACCTGAAAGCACTTTTATGGACTCCTTGCAAGAATCTCTCAGTGCTAAAGTCTGATTCATCTGTTCAGTGCCATAAATGCTTTTTAACTGGGTCCAAAACTCTTTCATTTCTCTTTCAAAGAGGACTATTTCATCTTCTGTCTTTATATTAGCCATAGTGCTGCAACAAACACATAAGCGAATACAATGTCAAGACACACAAAAGACACACAAGACAGTCACAGCAGTTGTAACTCACAGGACAAACCTTCGGGGCAGTTTTTAGCCGCTTGGCTCGTTAAAACCTCTCCCCCTAAGTGTTTTTCGTCGTCACTATTACTACAAGAAGCAGTAACAGCGGAAGCTACGTTTCTTTTGCGACTCCATGGGTTATCTACGTCGGGAGGAGGCCCTGCCCCGCGCTACGCTGCGCTCG